GGAGGGGCCTGATAGGAGATTGCCATATGAATTTCTATAATGCTAGTCCCCTGCAGTCCAGCTGCAGCTCCAAAATAAACCCTTTCACACACACAGGCCTGAGCAAGGTTACAAACGGCAATGTTCTGCCCTTGCTAGGGTTAATGCCCAGGCAGTTTTGAGAGTGTAAAACTAGCAGTTCCATGTATCACTTTAACCACTGCTTGGGGCCCGATGAGCATGCTGTTGGCCGGCTCAAACACAGTCCCGAAAGCCCTGGGAGGGGTGGCCCCCTCCAGCTACATCTGCTTGGAGGAGTTTGGCTGTTAACAATGAGTTAACAGTGGAGCAGTTTCTGACCCCCCTACGCTGGTGTATTCTGCACACACACAGTCCTAATGTCTCCTGATTGGGCAGTGAGAGGCAGAGGGAGGAAGAGAAAAGTGTGTGATGAATCCCCCTCCATGCTCCCGTCTGGACACATGCAGTTGAAAACCAGCCGATGGGAGACTCCGTATTAGCCCTGAGTGGGACACTATCTGATGAAGAAAGATACCTCTTGGAACTGGATTTGCATGTGATCTGTGCCCAAGAATCTTGCCCTGGCCAGGACGGCGGGGAGATAACGACATCCCATCGGCAGCAGGATGCTTGCAATTGCTAACTGCATTGATCTCTTTGGCTTGTTTACATACATGCTCCCTTCCAAGTGACCTCTTAGTACCCAGGGTTCTGCATGTGTCTGAGCCTGACTGGTGCTGCTGGCTCAGCGAGCAGAATGGCTTTTTATTAGGTGTCTAGACGTGACACAAGTCATTACAGCATCCTGCGTGGCGCGGCTGCCTGACAGGCCCTGCTAACATTCTGAGACTGAGGGGAGGCACTTGATTAATGATATGAGCTATAAATTGTGTGGAAGTGACTCAGTTCATCTCAGGCAGGGTCTAGGCACTGCAGCTCGTGTAATAGGCAGGGCATCTGAGTCTAAAGGCTTGTCTACAGGGGTTGTCCAGATCGGTTAAACTATAGTAAATCCCTGCACGGACCTTCTCATTCAAAATTAAAGTGGCCTTAATTTGGTTTGGTTTCCGGTGGATTAAGCCAATTCAGAGTGACCACACATGGAGCTAATCAGTAGTTAATCTGTTTTAAATTCACACTCCATCTTATTC